TCTGAAACCTAAAGACACATAAAAGTTTATCAGAAATCTTTAGTTTTGCTTTATTCTTAATTCTTGGTTAATGTGTAGTAAATAAAATCATATCTTATCAAAATGTGACTGATATTGCAAAATTCACAGCTCAATTTAAACTGACTATATTGTATGACTTTAACAGAAAATACTTGAAATTCAATTTCTGACTACAGGAACATAAACTTTCAATATCAAGATCAAGTTTAGTTAATGTTTTCTTGTTTGTCATACTACTTTAAGACGCTTTACAACTTTTAGCATGAGTTTAGTGAACCAAAGGTAACGAAGTGTTAAGGAATATGCCCCTCCCCCTCCTTTTTTCATCAGTTATCAGTAATGGGTCATTAATTGATCAATAATACAGTTATAGTCATGAAACGTTTTTCATTTACTATAAGTCAATAATATTTAAGGTAGGAAACTTTTATTTGAGACAATTTATGGGATTAGAGTGAATTTATGCAGTTTTTACATTAGGCTATGCTATCTGCCAAATTCATGGAACGACGCAATAATATATAGGTAAAAATCAAATAATTTCATGAAATCTTCAAACAGACAATTTTTTTGGCAATAAACAACCTATGTTTAACTGTTTTATATCACAGAAACAACTTACTATAAATTAATAACAATTTCAGACATTTTTTTTATATGCATGCCTATTGTAAGGGTTGAAAAAGCTAAAAATACCACACATTCAGGCTTTAGGCTCGACACTGGCAATATGTGGCTTATTTACAAAAAAATGTTGTAATGTGGCTACCTGCATCTGAAAAAATTAGTTAAGAAAAAAAAATGTTCTAAATTTGAGTGAGTGAATTGGTGGTCTGACACCTAAAGCCGTTCTAGGTTAGAAATATCTTAAGCTGTTCTAGGGTACAAATGTCAAGATCAGTTCTAGTTTGAACTGTCCAAATCTGTTATAGGATATAACTGTTAAAGCCGGTTCTATTGTAGAACAGTTATAAATGACGTAAATTAAAGCAGTTCTCTAATCGTACTTTAGAACATGGACAGTTATAAATGATTTTCCCTATAACGCATATTTAAGATAAACTGGATTAAATTAAAAATAATTACAGTCTTGGAAGCATGTAGTAGTTTCGTTATTTCACTATGTATATATTATCAATCATTTTTTTTTTCTTTTTAGTTTATAACATGGTTAAACAATGAGAAAATATACTTTTAATAGTTCTCTTATTATCACCACAGATACTAGTAACTAGTACATTATGTAATATAATTATACACGTCTTGAAGCAATTTTTTATACGTAACATACTGGGGTTTTTTATTACACATTATGTATTTGGATTATATGTGGTGACCATTTCATTTTCTTTCGGAGTGTTTTTATAAACTCTAAAGAACTTTTGGATAATTTTAAATCTCGGTCTTTTTCTGAAATTAGTTCTATCAAAACTTTAGATTTTTCAACCTTGTATACCACCTTTCCCCATGTGAAATTGAATAACCGTTCAAAAGAAATAATCCACAACGTTCAACATAAAAATGGTAGCATACGCTATAAATTTATTACCATGGGATACCATAAGGCATATTTTGTTAATAGTGAACAAAAGGGTAAAACATGCTACACAGAGGAACAAGTGATCATTATGCTGGAGTTTCTTATTGACAACATCTTTGTTGAATTTGGAGGAAGACTTTTTCAACAAATTGTCGGCATTCCTATGGGAACGAACTGTGCGCCTCTCCTTGCCGACCTATTCTTATTTTCATATGAATCGGAGTTCCTTCAGACACTTGTCAAAAACAAGAAGATCAAAGAAGCCACGTTATTTAATTTCACTTTCAGATATATTGATGATGTTCTTTCCATTAGCAATCCGAACTTTTCTGATTGGGTTCCATTAATATACCCTTAAGAACTAGAAATTAAAGAAACAACAGACACGGCTTCCTCCGCCTCATTTTTAGACTTATACCTGGAACTTGACATACACAGTCATCTCAGTACCAGAATCTATGACAAACGAGACGATTTTAATTTTGAAATTATCAATTTCCCCCACCTTAGTAGCAATATACCAACTTCACCTGCATATGGGATATACATTTCCCAACTTATTCGGTATTCAAGAGCTTGCAGCTCCTACTAAGACTTTGTAAAACGTCACCAGTGTCTGATCAGAAAGTTGATGAACCAGGGGTATGTCAAAGAACGTCTCGTCCTTTTTCTAAAAAAGTTCATCAGAAGGTACCAAGACCTTGTTGATAAATATTCCGTATCAACTTCACAAATAATACACGATGGTCTTGAAGTATAGATTATGCGTACTGACGTTGTTTATCATCTTAATAACGTGTTATAGTATTCTTTTATTTGTCTTTATTAATATTACTTTTACTGTTAAGTCTGTTTTTTTGTGATATTCATTTGACGTGACTCTTTACTTATGTATCCCGTCATACTTTGAACGACAAAATTATTTTATTTTATAAATATCACTTTTACTGTTAAGTCTGTTTTTTTTTTGTGATATTCATTTGACGTGACATTGTACTTATGTATCCCGTCAAACTTTGAACGACAAAATTATTTTATATCTGCATGTGTGACGTCAAACGCGCGATTCTACGCCAGTACTTAAAACCTTCCATCCTTAATGGGTGGATTTTACATAAATAAATAAAATCGTATAATAAAAAAGCAAAATGAGGATGTTAAATTTGATATTTGCCTTTTTGTGCTTCTTTGTTACATTTGTTTGTTTTTATAGTGATTAAGATGATAACACAATGTTGACTGCTGTACCCCTATTTTTGACATTTTTACCTATTGTGTCTGTTTGTTTTGTTCACGCATCGTTGTCAATATAATGGAATTTGATGCGACTGTCATACAAGTGAGAGGTTTAGCTACCTATAAAACCAGGTTCAATCCACCATTTTCTACATAAGAAAATGCCTGTACCAAGTCAGGAATATGATAGTTGTTATCCCTTCGTTTGATGTGTTTGAGCTTTTGATTTTGCCATTTGATTATGGACTTTCCTTTTTGAATTTTCCTCGGAGTTTAGTATTTTTGTGATTTTACTTTCTATTACGAATTCACCTACATTAGGGAGTAAGTGGTTTAGTAGTAACATGTAAAGTTTGGCACTTTTTTAAAGTAACAAAATTTTATGAAGAGAAAGCAGTTTTTTAATGATAAAATAAGGATAATAGATTATTGATCATGAAAAAAAATAAACAATATCGTGTTTAAAAAAACAATCAATCAATCAATCAGTCAGTCAAAAATTAAATTAATCAATCAATCAATAAAAAATTCATTAACAAATAAAAAAAAATTAATGAAATAGATAAACATATCTGTTCAATGGCTGACCTGTCCGATTCAGTTCTAACGTTAAACTATTTATTAGTGGTCTAGAGTAGAACTGTCAGAGTCTTTTTTAGGTGAGGACTGTCCGAAACTGTTCTAAAGTAAAACCGGTTCTACCAAAAAGTGTCATAACACTGTCAAGATAACTGTTATAGATCTACATCATTCTAGATCATTTAACCTAACAGTTCTGTGAAGATTTGAAGAGAGGTTAGAATTAATTCTAACTGTATAATGCTGATTATTTGTGAACTTCAAAAGAACAAAAATGAATTTTCCGAAGAGTTCAATGACAGCCTATTTGGCAACAAGACACTTTGAAAGTTAAATAATATTATAAATCCTTTTGTTTCAAAATGTATGACTGAATAGCTCAATGAAGACAAATACCAATCAATATGTGTCACTATTAATTTGCGGTCCATGAATATGTGATCGACACACTTATTAATCAATGGAACTTATTGAATAATCGTTGCACATAAAGTAACCAGAATATATATTTGTGATATGCTTTCGTTTTATAATCCTTTAAATTGATGCATGACTAGTTTTGGTGCGTTATGGAAGTAATTTGAAAATGTATTACCACTAGCGGCCAGCATTTTGGCCGGTTTGATCTAGGGTATAAAATAAAATATTTATTTCTTATGAAACATCTGTTTTCATTATATCATTCACATTTTGTGTAGATTTTTTAGATTAAAGCAAGAACTATTTAAAAAAAAAGATATCTGACGCTTCAAGAATGGAGCATTGCTAAGTCTTAAGTTTCTATGTTGTGTTTTTTGTACAATTGTTTGTTATGTGGTCGTTTTTTTTTTGCCATGGCGTTTGTTTCAGACGTATAAATTTTCATGTCCGTTTGGTATATTTTGCCTCTCTTTTGTCATGTTTAAATAATTGTTCTCAATTTGTCGTCAAAAGCCTAAAGATTGAACACATGCAAATTCCTTGTGAAATTAAGATAAAATAAACATAAATACAACATTAAACGTAACAACAAGAAAAGATCGCTGACATCAACCAAACTATTACCATAGTTTATCATCATTCAGGTCAAAGGTTACCAAATTGAAACTTTACTGGCAGTTTCGGCATTATATGAGGTCATATGATTCCAAGTGCACAATGAACAACTATGGCATTCAACAACAGTGATATTCCTTTCGGTTGATGATGAATATAAAAGGTCCAGAGATTAAAAATTTATAAAAAGTATTACACACCGCAACCAACGACAAAAGGCTCCTAACGTGGGACAAGCACATTAAGGTTAAACACGTTTGTGAACTCTTAACCATAACTATTCGCCTAACACGGACAATAGTGAAATAGTGCAATATCAGAAAAAAAACTGTGAAATTCAGTTGGAAACTACTTACCGGACCGGTTATAAGCACAAAACTACAAACGAAAAGACATAAAATACAAAGATTGATAAATGAACTCAGATGATGTATATCTGTAAGAAGAACCTGTTTAAACTAAATGATAAATATATCAACTGATAACGCTTCACACAAAGGTGTATTAAAACAATTTAAAAAAAAAAACAAAAGTTTAGATAGTACACAATGTGTAAATTTGTTGTCAAATAAATGTATTATAAACTCACTGATATATATTGCTGTAAAATTATCAAACGGATCATTGGAACACGGAACACTTGAAATTGTATAAGTCATGTCTGTTATATTGAGTTCATAGCTATTAGGAGAATCTGCATTAGTTCCACATAAAATCAGTGTATCCTCAGTCTTCTTAGTAATGAATCGTATGTGATTCTGACAATCAGGAATCTAAAATAAATGGTCCACCTTCAAACTAAAAATCTTTTCCTACAGAAATTCGTTATTAAAATTCAAATACTAAACGAACGATAACTGATATACAGACTTATTTAATATCTACTTCTACATTGGCCACTTGCATTGACCCCCTCTTTTCACTCATCCGGGTTGTAGGATGGTCTGAATATGGGATAGTTTAAACACAAAACATAAAAACAACACAAAAACAAATATTGATATAGTCAGAACAGGATGGATAATTTTCGTGTAAATGCTTGATATTCCTAGTACTAATTGTTGTGTGATTGAAAATCTCTAAAGCCATAATGGGGTTTGAGCGATCCTGATTAAATTGAATATAGAAAAACGCTTATGACGCCCCAAGTCAATAAAATTTTAATTTCCTTAAAATGCATCGGTTCAACGTTCCACAACTTCTTTTATGTAGAGCGATCAAGCTTAAATTATACCATATAAGGGATTTAGTACGAAGCATGTATTGTCACAAGAATGCGAGAATATTTAAATATCAACACTAATGTTAGTGTCAGTATCAAGGAAATGTTTATTCTTTATTATTTGTCATGTATCTTGAACGCAAAATTCGTAACTTTAAAAAATATTCATGAACAAGTACTATCTTTAAAAAAAGATATGAGACACCTTCGATTGGAGCATATGTTTTTAAAAACATTCATTTTTTTTTCTTTTTTAACATAATTAAATGCCCAAACTTTGACTTCAAACTCTGACAATTCTGAAAATTGAGCACAAGCAGTCGACTCTAAAACATAAATATATTCCGTTAATTACCTTGTAAGTGTATACAGAGTATTTTTTCAGAGGTAAGTGACTGTGAAATTAAGGTAAAAAATATATACAATGTAACACATAACAACTGATAAAAGGATCTTACAACAGGCTAGAAATGTCAATGTTACTAAACAAGCATCAACAATAGGAGACGCAAACCCTTTCGACACGTTTAACGGACGGACGCCTAAAGGAGATGGTCGATAACACATCGTTTGACAGGTAATTTACTTTGCTGTATACATGGTATATATTCTGACACTCTTTATATCAAGTATTATTATATGTTATACCTATAAATATCCATATATCGGTTCTTGATTATGTCTTTAGAATTTTGACTTCACTTGCATGTTGGCAAACTTATATAAGTGTGGAAACTTAAAATTTCCATTCGAAAGTGTCAAATAGATGATATTTTTATAGCATTCGAGCTAATAAAAATGCAATACTGAACTTGATATCAAACCAGGATTTACCTTAACATACCGTATTGATATGCATAAATGATTTAGAGCTCGAAATGGCAGTGAACTGAAAACCTTGCATTCAACTTTATAAATAATTTGGCATGGATGATTATGACCATTTCAATACCTTCACTGTATTTTTCTGAATGCTTTCATCTTAAAGATGTGAGATATTCGGTCCGCAAATGATGAATTTAAATAAAGCTTTTGCATATCTTGTTGAGTGGTCTTAATGTAACCGTCTCTAAAAGTTCGCAAAAAATACAGCATGGATAGATGCGTTCTAGCATTGTTTGTATTGACATTCGCCACCAGTTATTATTTTTATTGTAGTAAAACTATTTATCAACAAAACATTAATTGTATTGTTTATTAAGATAGTTTTTTTTTTTATCTCAGATATATATGTATTTACAACCATCACCTGCTGCATGCATATCACAAAATATTAGACAAATGTATGTTCGAACATCAGCGATGAAGTGTCCATCCAACCAGTTCAGTGACAATGCCCACGCTGTTACCATTGTTTAGCATCTTTAAGATCATAGGTTACAAATTCACAATTATAACGTCTGCGTCTTAAAAAGGATAGCAGTAGATATTTGTTCAAATAAAAGAGTTTCATTAACTTAGGTCTATCGAAACTCAAAAGACAAATAAAAGTAGAGAAAGTAGGAACCACTGACGAAGAACATCTATATACTATGTTTAGTAATTAGCATTAACTTACCTCTGGCTTTGAAAGAGTACAATAGTTAAGCTTATCTGGTTCTGCTGGAAAATCAACATAAGTCTGAAACAGAGACGTTACTCAAAATACTACTTTGAGATTTCCACAAAGTGTAATTGTTTTGTATCTCAGCTAAATAATTCGTTTTGTTCGTGATTAAATCAAGATATCACATAATGATGCAGAACGTGTAGTTTGTCTGTTCAGAAGTTTGATAACAAGGGTTCAATTTTTACTGCAAGTTTAAACAAGATAAGATTGATTTAGACCAACATATCGTTTAGTTGACATAAATATTTAGAAAAATTTGCCAGTTTTAATGTAGTTGAAGGATTCTGTGACCTGAAAGTTTTTCCTTTTCGTAACAACTTTTCGGGTAAATTTATTATTCCTGTATTACAGCTTTTACTACTTACGGATTTAACAGGATATGCATCATTTGATAGATCAATTATGGTGAGTTTGTTCCTAAAAAACAAACAAAACATAAATGTGCTAGATACTTTCATGTTAGGTATGCCATAACATATCACAATACTAGAAGCTAGCTGGCCCTAATTTATTATGATAAAAATAGATACAAAGATTTGGTCTGCAAGTTTGGCTGTACCTGTAGAAAATTTCTTTCAAATGGAATAGCACATCCTAAATTTCCAGTTGTTTACCGAGCCCGGAATAATTTAAGATACGATCCGGGTAAACTAATCAATCTTTTAAATGAACTTTTTCTAGAAGATTACCAATTCAACACTGTTAAATCAACTTTGAATATTGTTTTATTGGTATAAGTATTGACTTTGTTATCAGTAAATTAAAACCATACTAAATATTATTGTTACATGTATACACATGTGCACTATCACGGTAATACAGTCTGTCGATACCTATATTTTGGCATTGCACACGGTTATGTTTTCTCTGACTGTTAATGACGTCTTTACACTAAATTCATTGGATGTTGCATGTGTATTGATTTTGTTAGTCTTAGATACATGATTTATTTATAAGTTATTATTGGCTTTTAACTAGTTGTCAGTAACTGCGAGTACTCTTAGAGGTGTACTTAATGTCTTTTTTGTTGTTATGGGATGTATAAATACCCTGCCACGTACGCTCTGCGTTTTTGTTAGATGTTTTATCTACTGTGTATCGTTCTGATTAGTTAAGCCCTTTTCAACTGATTTTTATAGTTTGTTCTTATGTTGTCCCAGGTTAGGAGAGGATTGAGCGCTCACAGACATGTTTGACCACGCCACATTCTGTATGTGTCTGTCCCAAGTCAGGAGCCTGTAGTTCAGTGGTTGTCATATTTGGTTTTGTAAATTATTTTGTTATAAATTAGGCCGTTTGTTTTCTTAATTGAATTGTTTCATATTTTTCATGTCGGACCTTTTATAGCCGACTATACGGTATGGATTTTTCTCATTGTTGAAGTCCGTATCCTTTAATTGCTTACACCCACTTCACTTGAACTTTGGTGGGTAGATGTTTGATTGGCAATCATACTACATATTTTTATTTTATAATAATCTATTTAAAAAATCAAATACATTTAACCCCGCATTATTATGTACGTACTTTTCTCAAGTCAGGAGCCTGTTATGTGTTGGTGTTGTTAGTTGCTATGTATCATATTTATTTTCCGTTTCTTAAGTCTTAAGACTTAACTCAAGACGTTGGTTTCTCGTTGAACTGTTATACATTTTCTCAATTCGACTTCGTTTATAAATTGGTATGCGGCATGGGTTTTGCTCATTGCTGATGGTCGAATGTTGACCTATAGGTGCTAACATCTACGTCATCTGGTTTCTGGTGAGTGGTTATTTCATTGGCAAACATACCTCATATTAAGAATATAAGAGTGTGAACAGTAAGCCAAATGATGTATAACTGCGATGTAAGTGAGAGTTTCGTCGAAATCAATATCAACATCAAATTCCCAAAATGACAAACAAATATTACATATGTTTATACGATCAGGTAATTTTCCCTGTTTTTGCATTTTGTGAGTTAAATGAAGGTTCGTTAAAGGACATACAGTAAAAGTTTACATTGCAAAGCATTTTATAATTAGTCTATATCTTAACAAAAACAAAACTAGTACAGACACAACAAACTTATAATAAGCAATACCTTTCCAAAAAAACTAACGCAGTTTCTGAAAGCAAGATCAAAATAGTGATTCAAATATTAGTTTGGAAAGACATGGACTATTTACTAGGCGGAATTTGACTTTGAAAAAGCATTCTTTGATGTTTATAGTGTCTTCAGATTTGGGATAGTAAGTCAAGTATTTTTCAACTTATTTGTACAGGTTTTATAAACTGTAAATCATATTCTTTGTAAGCGTGACCTAGGACATGAGCCTGTAGTCTAATGGTAGTTGTTTTGTGTTGTCTGGCATAATGTTTTTACGTTTCATGTTACATATAAATAATATGCATTGCATGAAAACTCATAACTAGGGACAACAGATGCTAGTTAATTAATAATGATATAACACCACCTATTTTGCCAATCACAATTCCCTTGTTAGAGGGATGCAGCTTGCGTTAAGGGTTCCAAATGATAAAATTGAAGACATCCCCTCCAACAAATTTTGGTTGTACTGATTTGGTTGACTGTCATAGAATATGTTTTGCTTAAGATTTTAGTGTTGCACGTTGTGCTATTTTATTTTTCAATGTCTGTGTTATTTTTATGACAAATAGTCTTGTCTATAGTTAGATGAATAAAGCAATGTTTTCATTTTAAACTTTAACATTCGGCCAAGGTTTAAATAATTTATATCATATGACTTTTTAAAAAATTTACCAGGAGTAATGCTGATGGTTTTACAACTGGAGCAGGAATTATTGAACCTTTTTAGCACCTTAGTTCATCCCGGTTTCGGTGGAATCGTATCGTCAATACTTAGTTTCAAAAAAGGATGAAGGGGGCATTCCAATTTCATAAGTCGAATATGAACGGACAATTTGCAACGTCATGACAAAATATCGAAAGAAGACATATAGACAAATAAGTCTACAAAATATTACATTGTACAGAGTAAACTGACTGACCAACATGACCCGCACTCAAAATCGTGATTGATCCAAGATGCTCGGGAAGGGTTCAAATGTAGTGTTTTGTTGATTACTATTAGTTTTTGTTTTTATTTTTCTCTTGGGCTGTGGTGCTATTTATGTCATTCGATTGGGCCCCAGGTTATATTATTTCTCACGCTTTTCTGTCAATATTTCAAGTTGAATACGCAAAAAAATCTTTGAAAACTGTTGAATTTTATGTTCAAACCAATCTCCTAACGGTATTATTTATCATCAAGCGATCGAGCAATTTAAGGAACTGTGCTTAACATGTTCATTTATTTTTATAGTTGAATCAAATCTTTTTAATTATTTCGCTTGGTAAGTTTCTTGAGTAAGTTTCATTTGCTTATCTATAATATGAAATAAGATTTCTGCTTCTCTCGCAATTTTCGGCATTAGCTTCTGTAAATATTTATTCTGTGCATTGAACTCGAATTTACGTGTATCTTCCCTTTCTGATATCGAGGTTGCTATTTGCAATCTATACAAACAATCTTACCATCGACATAACATTTAAATACGACGAAACAATTACGAAAAGCACAAAGATAACAACAATAGAAATACAAACACCGTCAGGTGACTGCAAGCATTTTTTGATACTGTAAAGTTACAATATTTGAATCAAAGGCGAACGTATAGTTCGAAAAATAAACTCATCATAGATACCAGGATTACGATTTTGTACACAAGACACAAGACACAAAACGCTCCAATCAAAAAAATTTAAAAGGCCAAACAAAGTACGAAGTTGACGAGCATTGAGGACCCAGAATTACGAAAGGTTTTGCCAAATAAAGCTAAGGTAATCTTTTCCTTGGATAGAAAATCCTTAATATTTCGAAAAAAATCAAAGTTTTATAATGATGACCGAATGTAACTGCCGCGCAAAATGTTTTCATTGTTCTTTTTTTTAGTAAAATTGTCTTGCATGCAATGAGGACTTCTGGTTTATTTTTGATATAATTTGTGTACATGGTTGAGTCTTCGTGTTTGACTGAATTTTCTACATTCAAACACCAATACTATTTAGTACATTATAATTTATGAAAGTTATGTTTTCCCTATATGTATAAAATCAAAAAGATCTGTTTTGAAATATTTGTATCTTATTTTTAAATTTTTTATACAAACAGGAATACCACGCTGAAAATGCATATTCAAGATGACGTTGAGCTTAAGCAGTATATGAGGTTTTTATTTGGATTTTCTGATAGATACAAACTATCTCTATATATTAACCTCGATTCAGTCTTGTCTTCCCTTTTTGTAAGATTTAATTGACAAAAGTTTTTCCTCGACAAAAAATTATGTTTAGGCCAAAGTAATTTACACAATTTTGGGGTGAAATACAATGGTAATTGTAGCGGACTTAAGCTTTGGCAACTTTCAAATAAACATACATACAGAAGATACATGTAGATATGTCCAAGTAATAAAACAGCAAAAACTTTGAGTTGAAACTAAATGTCTCACAAGTCGATTTTAACTAACAGTTATAAGATTTATAAACTTATGTTTTAGAAGGGTCGGCTGCTGGTTGACTTTGTTGAAAGTTGTACTTTCCATTAATATTTTTGATAATTCTTACTATCCTTTTGTATGTTTCATATTTCTAACAGTATACAGGTTGTCCGCCTACCTCATTCCTATGTATACACTATAAATATATAAAAGGTAATAAAAATTGATACACAATATATCTATATGTTACTTACATCTGTCCTACAAACAACTTTTTCACCTCTGGATCGATCAGAATGTATCGGTTATACGTAGCATCCGTTGATATAAGCAATGCTGAAATGAGTAAATGTAATAACGTTATTTCATCGTATGCTCTATAACTCTGAATGGAAGTTCAAATTTGATAAAATGAATGAACACATTTCTTTGTGATCGGTTTTTATTTGAGTTTCTCTTTTACGGTTGTTTTATTTTTACCTTTAGTAGCTCAATTACCCTTAATGTATATACAAGTTGTTCATGGCCTACGTTCGCCAGTTCACATGTACTATTCGCCCCTAAATACATCGAGCCAATGCGTCAAACTAAGCATTGCAGAGATAATGTAAGTACGGACAGTCATTGAAATTAATCATGTTTTATCAATTGAATGAGAAACGAAGCTGCCGGAGGAAAATATAATGACATTAGCACTTGCTAAATATGGTGCGTCTAAAAGCACTCAGTCTGGTTGTTTGTTTGGTTTTTTTTTCTATTTTATTCAGCTTTCTATGAAATGAAAAAAATATGTATCATTTGAACCGTTACGGGACTGAATTATTGGAAGACTCTCCATAAAAATCCATCTGTTTATGTTGATGAACAAGGGTGGCAAATGTGTCGACACTGATCCCATAAAGGTTTCACTAAACATTATGGCAAATCACTTTGTAGTTGTAGTCTCTTTAACTACACAACTTTTGCGTGTGAAGCGTCACGGTCTCTTACATGCATTATATGTTAAATCTAAATCCGGCAAACGATATGTCTTACAGATGAGGTTCTAGACTCTGATTGGTCAAGCCATGAAAGTAATATAAACGTACAAAGACATAAAATGTCAATCGATATATATATATATATATATATATATATAAATGGCACCTTCTTTTGCCAACATTTTTATTGGGGATTTTGAAGAACGCATAATCTTGAGTGTGCCATACAAAAAGTAAAATCACAAAAATACCGAACTCCGAGGAAAATTCAAAAAGGAAAGTCCATAATCAAATGGCAAAATCAAAAGTTCATACACATCAAACGAATGGATAACAACTGTCATATTCCTGACTTAGTACAGGCATTTTCTTAAGTAGAAAATGGTGGATTAAACCTGGTTTAAGCTAGCTAAACCTCTCACTGTTATGACAGTCGCATCAAATTCCATTATATTGACAACGATGTGTGAACAAAACAAACAGACATAATATGTAAACATATCAAAAATAGGGGTACAGCATTCAACATTGTGTTATAATCTTAATCACTTTTAAAACAAACAAATATGTAACAAGGAAGTACAAAATGGTATACAGACCAAGCATATTAGCACAAATTAAAAACAAGAATACACACATTTACCATAGTACAATAACAAAATGACGAGATGTATAAGTACAGAGCCACGTCATATATGTATCAATGAAACATAAAAAGGCATATAGACAAAGCACATTAGCAAAAATGAAAGACAAGAATACAAAAATGTTTTACAATAACACAATAACGAGATATATAAGTACAGACCCACGTCATATGTATCATAGAAACACCAACAGGCATATAGACAAAGCACATTAGCAAAAACGAAAGACAAGAATACGAGAATTATCATAGAATAGAAACACAATGACGGGATGTACAAGTACCGAGCCACGTCAAATGGATATCAATAAAAACAGACTAAAAAGTAATATTCATAAAGACAAATAAAAGAAGAGTATAACACGTTATAAAAATGATAAACAACGTCAGTACCCAGAATCTATACTTCAAGACCATCATGTATTATTTTTGAAGTTGATACGGAATATTTATCAACAAGGTCTTGGTACATGTACCTTCCGATGATTTTTAGAAAAATTACGAGACGTTCTTTGACAAACCCCTGGTTCATCAAGTGTCTGCTCAGACACTGGTGACGTTTTCTTGGCTCCGTTTTATTGATGATATTGACATGAAATGGAACGATACTGCAGAACATCTACAAGATTTTTTAGATCATTGTATCAAGTTCCATCATTCAATTAAATTTACATCTAAATTTTCAAGCGAGAAAATTTCTTTTCTCGACACCACCACATTTGTAATAAACGGGGTCATGACAACTGATCTCCACACAAAGAAAACTGACAAACACCAGCTTCTCTCTCCGAAAAGTTGTCAACCGCGCGGCCGAAACACTGCTTCAGGAGCATTCCTTACAGTCAAGCTATCAGGCTAAAGCGAATTTGCTCCTCGGATTCCAAACTCAACTACCGTTTGGGACAACTCAGAAAACAACTAAAATCAAGAGGATACAAAATAAATATAATACAGAAGCTTCCGATAAAGCCAAAGAAAAAGATCGAAAGATCCTCATGCAATACAAAGATAAGTCGACCCGCACAGATAGAATTCCGTTTGTTGTCACTTTCTATCCCGATCTGACAAATATTTCATCTACTGTCCGCAATCAATGGCGTCTTATTGAAAATTACTCTTCCTTAAAAGAAGTTTTTTCATTACCTCCTGTTATTGCTTATCGCAGACCCAAAAATCTCAAAGACATACTTGTTGCATCTAAATTTAAAAAAAAGAGAGACCTCTAAAATCGGGTGTTACAAACAGTGCGGAAGAAGCAATTATAAGTGCTGTAAAGTCACCAACATTGAAAACTCTTTCACCAGCGCAGTAACAAAGCTGCGATACAGCATCTATGTTACATCTAATTGTAAAACGGAAAATAGAATTTATATTCTTACTTGTGGAACTTGTAAGCTACAATATGTTGGCGAAACAGAAACTAAATTCAACATCAGACTTAATAATCACCGGTCGTCTTATACCAAAGGAAGAAACTGCTCTATCACGAGACACCTCCTAAGAAGGGACAAACGTTTGAAAATATCACCTTTCAAATAATACAGGTCAACCAAAATTGGGACACCCAAAGTAGAAGACAAAAGAGAGAGATTTTGGACGAATCAGCTACGTACTCTTGAACCTGATGGACTGAATGAGAGAGATGAAAAACAGTTTTATCAAAAACCAAAGGAATAATCTTGAACTTCTTACTATTTTACAAACGCAATTGTTTTTTTTTAATAATCGCAATGTACAATAAGCTGCAAAAATTTCTTTACAGAATCCGATTTTTACCTGGATGGCTACACGCGCCGGATGAAGCTTATTTGTGTAATGAAATATTGCGTGAATGAAAAAAATAAAACAACTATTTATATATATATATAAGACAATGCCTTGATTTAAAATGAAACAAAAACAATAATGTTTAGTACAGTTATAACTCACTTATATACCGGCCTAATAGTCTCGTGGTAGCACCCTCGCCTCGAGCGCGAAAGGTTAAGGGTACGAACCCCATCCCGGTCAAACCAAAGACTTGAAAAGGGGTATTTGGTGCTTCTCCGTTTGCCCCCGGCCTATAGGAGTAAGAGCAAAGACTGTTCGGTTCTGTGTCAAATCAATGTGTCTGGGTAGGTGACACGTTTTCCTGAGGACTGATACCTTGTGAACTAGCATCCTCGTCATCTTAATTATATTATAACTAACCTAATTATAGTAAAACTTAAAAGAAAAAAAAACATAGGACTACTAACCGCCTTTTTATATTGAAATGTTTAGTATATTAAAATGTGCACAAGAATAAGAGAACACTTTAGTGATGCTCCAATAATGATAAAAAAATCCCTCGACTCAATAGGAAGCTTTGGCATGTTATACAAGTTAACATCCATTTTGCATTGGAAAACAAATATATATTTTAGCAAATTATATTTTGTTGAAAATATACAAGTATTTTGAAATATTCAGGGTGTACCAAACGTTTTACTATTTTCATAAATGACATTTACGTTTTGTTATTTAAACAATACCATTGCCAAGCTTCTTAACTTGAAACACACATAGGCATTTGATCTTATTATCAATTCATAAAATCCAGAAGGACTTCGAAATATTCAGAACATACACAATATAAAGTGAGCGCTTTGAGTTATCATATGTTATCGCATACTATCGTACTTTTTAATTGACTTTAACATTAGCATTTAAGTGTTTCCATAGCACTATTGAGCCTTACTTATATAGCTTATAATACCTGGAAATGTCAGGTGATATGAATGGTCTGAGCAGTTGTATTCTCCCTCGTCACTGAACTGGGCGTTCACAATTCTTAAATCAAACTGTCCGTTACTATGGCTTCCGGTTACAAATATACGACTTCTCAGATCATACGGTAAATGTTCGTTGATATATTTTGACTCTGCATACAATGTGCTATCTTTTCTCCACTCAATTGTTTCGGCGTCCGAAGCAGCTATACTACATTCTAACAAAACGGAAGTTCCGTGAATTGCATACCTAGATTCAATGCTACACACAGGGTAACCTAAAATAAAGAATGCTTTTATTTCTGGCTATTACAGTTTACCAACTTAACCAGCTTAAAGCCAAACGATATGTATGTCGTTTTAGGGTTTAATGCCAATGTCGTTTTAGGGTTTAATGCCAAGGCGACATATATGTCGTTTCATTGCGACCTATAATACATTAAATAATCAATGTTGTATAACCATTATCTTGACCATCGGTCATCTATGTTTATTTTTGAAGCAATGACGTCATTGTGACGTTATAATTATGATAAAAGTAGGTTGAGTTTTCTGTCTTTGAAAGTGTCGTCTATCAGTACGGCAGACGAGAACATTGATTGTTATATTTGCATGCAAGCATATACCGCTGTACTGGTACTGAAGATCCAAACATTAACATTAAAAGAGCTGGTAAACCAATATAATTAATCAACAAGACCGGAACTTTCGGTCATAAAACTTTAGTCAGTACTTGGAGTACTAAATGTGTGCTCGAAACATCAAATTCAATATTTTGATTGGTTGTTTTTTTAGTATGAGTACGATACTCGTACTCAAAATTTGTATGATTCAAGACCAGGTCGCCGCTGTTTGCATCGTAACTTATCAGAAATACTTCATATTAAACTTTTTATGGACTGCATTATAAATATATTTGTCGGACTGTGTGTTGAAAAATGCTTTAGAAATTTTTGCACATTACTTATGTTCGAATAGTAGTTTTGTATGGGTTTACCCACTCAGTCCAAAATGAACATTTCGGTCGACCTACGACAGAATCCCAAGAGAATAGAAATGCCCATATGACAAAGTAAGACCTCGGTAAATACCAAAAGAAGGTATAAAATAAACACTCATTTTAAACATTGGAATGTATTAGAAATTCCCTAACATTGTTGATTAAAACCCCCATGACAATGCATCTAAAAAGCCATCATTTTATAATCTGAGTTTAGTTCCTAATATGCAAATGGTGTTTAATTGATAAGTGACAAATAAATGATCTTTATTTTATAAAAAAAATCGTATTGATAGTTTGGAAGTTTTGGTCCTCGATGCTCTTCAGCTTTGTACTTGTTTTGGCTTTCAGACTTTTTTCATCTGAGCGTCACTGGTTAGTCTTGTGTGGACGAGACGCACGTCTGGCGTATTAAATTCTAAACCTAGTACCTTTTGTTAGCTATTATTCGTGTGTTTCTTTGTCCTATATGTTCTCCCATTTATTTGTATTGTAGTCATGTCATGTAATATTGTCATTTTAATTTTATATTTAACATTGCCATAAAAGCGGGAGGTTTGGCATGCCAAAAAAACAGGTTCAACCCATCATTTTTTTCTTAAAATGTCCTGTACCAAGTCAGGAAAATGGCCATTGTTATATTATAGTTCGTTTCTGTGTGTGTTACATTTTAATGTTGTGTTTTTGTTGTGTCGTTGTTCTCCTCTTATATTTGATGCGTTTCTCTCAGTTTCAGTTTGTATCCCGGATTAGTTTTTATCTCTATCGATTTATGAGTTTCGAACAGCGGTATACTACTGTTGCCTTTATTTATATCAAAATTGTATTGAGAAGAACACAAGTTTTTGCACCTGGGAAAAATAAACGATTGTAATTGAGTCTTCATTACCCATTGAAAAGACATTAGGGATATACAACCCTTTCGTACAGTGGCGAGAAATTTTCGTCACGTACAATGTAAAGCTATAAAACCAGATTTAATCAACCATTTTCTACACAAGGAAATGGGTGTACAACATGTGACACCCGTCGTGTTGCTCATGTTAGTACAAACCCGGTAAAAAGTCTTATTCCTTAGATCAGATTCGAGGAGAAGAGGACGGGATTGTGGTTCAACGATTTGAACGTATCCGTCGTTATCTGTGAAACAGATATTCAATAACGGTCAACCAACTCGTCCGTAAACTTTTCGAAGGGATGATTTTAACTTCACCACTTGGATTCTTTGTTCAATAGCTTCCGGTTTGTTCTCAACCGACACACATTGTCAATTTATAAATAAAAAGATACGAGGCAGACTTAAATGTAACTGTTAGTTGGGATTGATGCGTTCAAAGTCACCAAACTTTAAATCATTTAGTGAACGGACATCATCTATATAGCGGAATGTGAAGTTATCCGTGAAGGATAATGCTAGCTTCATTTCATTCTGTCTATGAAGATTCCCCCGTATGAACTATGAAGTTCGTCCCATATAAATAAAGGAATAAGTCGACTAGAAAAAGAGCACAGTTTGTTCCCATGGGAATTCCGATTTTTTGCTGGAAAACACGTCCTCCAAAAATAAGAAATATGTTGCCAATCAAGAAATCAATCATCTTGATAATGTTACTTTCAGAGAATGTTTTTTTACATCATTTACAAAGTACGAGTTGTCACTCTCTAAGACAAGATACTGGTATCTACGTTGGCCATTCTTTTTTACGAAACACAGCAGGACATATTATTTCAATTTTTGGAATGGGGAATACTCGTGTAAAGGGTAGAAAAGTAAAATATTTTAATACCATTGCAAGAGGATCAGAATTAGATTGTATACACTCTAGCAGATCTTTCAATTTTTTATCCACATCTGATTACGCAGCCCCTACACAAGATAAGTTCACAATAACTTTAAAGCCCGGCTTTGATTGTTTATAAACTTGATGTTAATATTTTAGAAAGATGTTTCGTGGTGCACTTGGAGTATCCAGCAATATATCGTTGTTTGTAAGGACACTTATGTAACTTAGGTATCGAATACAGTGAAGGAAGACCCAGTTCATACTGTACTAATCACTTTGCTTTTTTAATTCACCAATTTGATGTTTAATTTGAATTCTGTATTCAGCGACAATACGATGAAGTTTTCGCCACTTTCACTTTAAACTGTCCGGTGTTTTGTCGATGTCGTTAATGTAATTACCAGTCGGATGCGATTTGGGTATATTTCTTCTCCCATGAGCACAGGGAACCTTTCTATACCAATTTCCTGCATCAATGTGAATTGTTGGGCATCATACTGGTGACCTGAAAACACATACTCTACGTACCAAATATACCCAGCGTTGTTGAAATTCAACTGCATGATAACGATAATGCCATACACCGGAGTAATATAGTTCCAGTGGCTCGATTTGACGATGGATCTCCGTTGATGTTCCGTCAATGGCTACCACTGCGTCAATACATATAGGCCATGTAGATCACATGTCTCTGCATGCAATTATTTAAAACATTTACAGAAGTGTTTTACATAACGCATGCTATTTTTCATATTTCAATACATTTTTATTTGTTCAAATAGCAAAAAATGCACTGTACGAAAATAAAAACGTTTTCTTCAAATGGCACGAGAAAAGCATAAAATGACAAAATGCAACACATAAAACAGACATTTAGAATCACCATATAATCGTGGCTACGGTTGTGGAGCAAACAACAACCAGCGAGCTATGAATGGCTGTGACAAATAAAAAGATCAAATCCATGGGAGGGGGTGGGGGTTGGGGTTTGGGGTTGGGGGGGGGGGGGCAGCATAATATCAAAATATTAAATACTAAACTGAGACAAGGAGACAAGGAAACACCAATGACCAACATATTCCGGACTTTCGAAAGGCGCAACAAACATGAAGCAAGGTTTTACTAACCTCGTTAGATCCAAAACAATCCCTCCTGTACGGTCAGTGGTGAAATAAAATTTAACTCAAAAAACAATGTCATCCATTAAAAAAATTAAAAGGTGAAGAAAACCGAAAGTCAATCTAGAACAATGGAATTGAACACACAAACATACCCGTGGACAAGAAAAAAAAGACAATTTCACATAAAAAAACCCCAAAGATATGAGAGAAACACGGTCCTCGGTAAACTGGGATAAATTCAAGTATTCCAGGAGGGTAGGCAAGTGGGGAGTCTTGACGACAATCTGTGTAGTTCTCGTGAAGATCATGTTTTGGAACGGTGGAGTGGACAGGATCTAACTCAAAGGGACACGATTTGTTTTCATTTAGGAACAGACAACTGATAATTGCTAATCAGTTCGAATCACGACCATAAAACTTACGACGGATGACTTCAATCATGGGACAATAAACTCCTGTTAAATAACCAGTTTGCCTGGTCAAAAAATTGCAACAACAAAAAAGATAGCAAAATTACCCAACTTTAAGGTAAATTCAAAAATGTAAGTCCATAAACACTAACAAAATCAAACGAGACTTTTATCAACTCTTTGATAAAATATCATTTCACAAATATAAATTCAATTCGAATGTCTTACTAGTAATGAAATACTATGAATAGGAACTGGAATTTGATTCCAGATTATGTTCTAATCCATCAAAGAAGTACTTCAACAGTAACAAGGGCACCATGAAGCAGAGCATTCTATCGCACTAAAAATAGTGAGTTGTCTTAAGGCTTTTGACCTTTAAATCAATAGACTTCCAGCCCTCCCTATTTTGAATATGTACATCGAGTGTGATGAGCAACACAAAGTACCAAATATACTGTGTCCGGAAAGTGTATTATGGATGGACGAATAATCCTGTTACAATATTTCTAAGGGAGGGGATGAAGAAATAAAGATACATACAAACGAGTTAATCACTATCGATTATGAAAATATCATGTTATAACTGAATGATTTTTTATCTTTAGTATGACCCTTCCAATTCACCTGTAAAGTGTAGGTATCATTAGTCGGTGTCGATAATTGTTCAAAAGGTTTAGTATGAACCTTTAAATCTAGACGTCAATGAGGATGTGACCCAAAGAGTCAATTTATTGGTATTCTAGATATTAGATTAAACAGGGTATTGTGTATGGTTATATTTGCGATTTACTAAAAATGTTCACGTTTGATCACACATTTCTGTATGCATTGTTTATTTTTGTTTAATTACCCGAATTTATTGAGAACCAGGTATAATGCGACAGTTTGACAAATAACGATCAATAACAGCTGTAATGTATGGTGAAAATACATCTAAATAATATTTAATTGCAGAACAAGCGATGAAAAAGTGATGACCCTCAGGAAAAAAGGCGCATATTTGAATAATTGAATCGTATAGAATACCCGAAAATGATTTATCGCAGATAGCATGCATAAGGTCATTTTTCGTGGTGTAGCAAAAGGAAGTGTTTATGTAGTTTTCGACAAGAATCAATGAATTATGTGTCATCTGATTTTTGTAACTGACATATATCAACGACTAAAGAAAGCAATTGTGGATATCAATTTTAACAGATCTTTTTCGATTGAATTCTTTAAAATAAACAAATGTGGCGCGATTTTTAGGCTCCATGTTTCTTTAAGCTATTTAAATAGAGATGTGAGTGGTTAATTGTAAATGATTTTTATTATATCTCCTAAAAATAATATCAACAGTTGTATTTACTGAGGTTAAAGATCAACATATCTTATTTGTAGAAACAAAAATTACAGTTATGTAATATATTTAATGCCTTGTCATAACATGAAAAATACGCTCCGATGCATTTTGCTGGATTAAACATAAACTATTGTTCTAGTTTGTCAAAACAATAGAAAGGTTTTAACAAACATCTAATAAACGTGTAAAAATAAATGTGCAAAATAAATGTTTGAGATGTATAATTCATAAATAAAAACCTATAAATATATGATGTAATTATTATTAATTTTGTTTGTCTGATTTTGAAATATTTCGTTATCTAACTGCTGGTGTTTTCTACATGCTTAATTCTCAATTTTCCTGTAGATTACAAGAGGAACAGTAAGCGAACCTTTGTGTTATAAGTCAAAATTAAATATCCGAGGTTGCTAAGGTTGGTGTAAATGGAGTATATAAACTTCATAAAGATAGAGATGTGGTATGCTTGCCAATGAATAACTATCCACCAGAGACCAAACGGCGTGGATGTAAGTTAATATTTGATGTGACGGCATGGTAAGTAAAATTATCATATTTTACGACAGACAAAAACACAATTTATCTGCAAGGTATACCGTCTACTTACCATTAAACATCATGTACTGTGTTACAACCATAGATAAATCTGACGAGGAAAGGCATTACTCGACTAACGAAAGCTATTACTCGACGAACGAAGGCTATATTTTATATGGCCTAGGTGGTCTAGGGCGCTGGACACAGTGCAGACTGTGTTTCCACGATGTCTCAGACGCAGGGATTCGAATCCCGCTGAGGGAAGAACAAAAATTTGCTAACTGCTAACACAAATTTGTAGATCTAACATTGTTGGGCTAAATTTGAGACGACATTATATGCAGCCTGTAAATTCATTGTGCTTAACCAGTTAAAAATAGACTGATCTCATGCCAAAATTGTTCCGAGCATATATTTGTTGATTTTAATTATTCAGTCAAGATATTGTAAACCTACTTGATATTACCATGACAATCAAGACACATATTATGTTACGAACGATACAGGAAAAACAAACCCATTTTGGAGCTCAAATTTCGGGTATAAGAAACTATCGTTACAATAACAGATCAGACAATTATACTGCTATATAAACAGTTTAAAAAACAAATATACCGCACTCCAAGGAAAATTCAAAACGGAAAGTCTCTTATCTAAATACCTAAGACCGTGCCAATATGTCGCATGTAGAATTAAGACACCCACACAACGTATCGGTGAACAAATTCGAGATGTTGATCGAAAAACTTATGTATTGTATATTTCAATCGGTCTTCCTCTTAACTCTGTTTGAGCAGTTTTTGTGTAAGGAGTACAACGATGTTAATGAAGGCCAAATAGGGTAAACATGAACGAGAGTAATGTATTTACTGACATTTTTCAACGCCATACGAGGGAGCAGAAAGATCTGCCTACCCTACCGGATCCCCTCCGTTTTTTATGGGGCTCGTGTTGCTCAGTCTTTAATTTTCTATGTTGTGTTTTGAGTACTGCTTTTTTGTTTACGTCGTATGGCATTGTCAGTTTGTTTTTTCGACTACTTATGAGTTTGAATATATCTGTGGCATATTTTACTATTGAGAAAAGGAATTTGACAATTAAAAATTGAAAACATTACGTTTGTCATAGATAAACAACCGGTTTTGTCACAATTCTTTGAAGGAATTATGTTAACAAATGCTTTCCAGCAACATTCAAGTATAATGAATGTTTATAATAACTGATTAAAAGGAAGTCAGTTTGATAGACTTTTGTTAATCTTTTTCTCATATACGTTATGGTGGGAATTTTGCAAAACATTTTCCATCACTAAAATAACTACATGTTTACATCTTTGTCATTTGGTCATGATTGGAATTTTTTCTCATTGAAAAAACTAAAAAGATAGCCAATTGTGTCAGGAATTTACACGTTCTCAAAAACCAATTACAAATATTTTAATTTGCATTCTTTTAAAGCCAAACTTTAAATATCCAAAGATAACTATTAACATTTGAAGCTATGTATCTCAATAAAACTAATACAAAAAGCGATCACATTTGATCAATTTTGGATAAAGGTTATACAAAAATTGAAAATCAATCATAATGTATGTTATACAACAAAGACAATGAATAAACATTGACTTTTGGGTGAATGGTAATTTGAGGGTAATCAGTTATCAATATAAAAATATGAAGATGTGGTATGATTGCCAATGAGACAAGTTTATATAGTAAGTTAAAGACGGAAACAGATACTTTTTTGTTTTGTTCAATGTGCATATTTGCATTTACTTTCATCAGTAACGTCCAAAGTCGAAAAATAAGAAAGTCGGAGATGAAAAACAAATACATAGTAAGTTACATAGATGTTACACTGGAATGTTATATATTTTATTTTGCCTTTGTTTTGTGTGCTTCAATGTTATTTTAGTTTATACTTGCATATATACAACTTTGTGTCAATACTGTTTTGAAAAATATAAATATTCACAAACACTACTATGAAGGAATACTTTGTTATGTAGAGTTTGTCTTTATGATATTTGTATCCCTATAATACATGTAGCTATAATCTGTATTTGTGTTTACATGTATAACTACTTACCTAAGAGTGTTAAACATGAAACTGTAAATTTCCACATAACGCTAAAAAAGTAACAGAAAAAGACCTAGTTAAAACATTATCAATAAATACATTTACCTGGCTATGGAAAACAATCGATATTGAAAAATGAGTATTGTTTAACGTGGAAAATCTTAATTTACCAGCATATCATGTTTGATCCAATGTATAGATGGTTCCATGAACTGAATCCTGGTAATTAATCTTTGATAATTGTAGCGGTTTCATCTTGTAACATTAACAAATACAACTGTGCAGTAACATGCATCAAATTTATAACGGTCTATTCTTGACAACTGTGGCTGTTTTACATAATTTGTGTTGTTAGGGTTACAGGCGTACACAAGTCATTTCTTTCTTTCATATCCGTCAATGAAACAACATATAAGCTATATCAAATAAACAAGTTCCACATAGAGATCAACATACGGGTATCTAAAATAGACAAGGGTCTATTCCATATATTAAGCTTACAGTCCCTAAGGGTAGAAAATAGTAAAGATTCTAACAAAAACGAAATCACCTTTATACAATTTCATTGTAGATGTAAGCCACTATATCGTTGACGCATATTCCATATTTCCTGTTTTATATAGTTAAAAACATGAAACAAATTCCAATAAAACGCTAGGCTTAAGCATGTTTTTATTACTATTTCAAGTGAAAAAAATGTACATGTGAATTTTTTTCCAAAACTTGATCAACATTCTCTCACCTCAAATTGAATTTATATTCAAACAATTTGACATTCAGTATCATGCAATCAATAAGCAGCTGTTTATGTGAGATAAACAAATCAGTAAGAACGAATAGAGCAACATAATATACATGACATTTATGATAAGGTAGTAGTTAACCAACAATGTTCAAATCTCACAGGTTCATTTAAAAGATACAAATCAAATTAAAAAAACCAAAAACTATGGAATTGTTCATCAACCCGGGGGATACAAAATTGCAGAAAGGACGTGGATGAAACTCGTTTGGAGAAGTATGCAACCTTCATAAAAGTGCGGAAAACCACAATTTTCTGAAATTTTACACTACATACATTGAAATAACATTGTAGACCTGTAATCAGCAAACACAAAGTACATAAAGATAATGAATTTGACTTTGAATGTGTGAAATTATATAATGCATCACCTAATGTTTGTGTGTCATACCCGTGGTTGGGAAAAACAAAAAGAGGTCCGTATGATTATAAATTGTTCATCCAGTCTACATTATTCTAAACCTAACACAAAACAAAAACAAAACAAATGTCAACTTTGTTGAACTATGAAGCATTTGAATTTTATGATAATCAGTATTCGTAAGTAGAAATGTTCAACATGGCGGTAATTCGCTGCATGTTCTTATCTTAGATGGGTACCGGCAAACCATGCACCTCTTGTCATTTAAAAAATGCAGAGTATGGAATACTCAAATCCAATCCTGTTTTTAATTCTTGAATAATATAACGATTTATTTGTTATTTTAACTGATACATGTATCTAGGTAAGCATTATTTTCCTATTTTATTTACAAACAATAAATTTAAAGTAAGTGTCGAATTGGCAAAGCATGTGTACCTATTAATTTTGAATACCATTGTATTATGTATTGATGAGTGTGTAAAGATCATCTCTAAGATAAAATTGGTTAAAAATTAATACAAATACAAAATAAAACTACAAGTGTGACTGATCTAAACCAATGCACAAATATCACTTCTAATCAGTGCATGTTAGTACATATTAAGTAGGTTAGGTCTACACGAATAAGTACGTTTTGTACCTGTCCTGTCATGAATTTAAAAATTATAATTCACAGTTGTGTAAGAATTTTTGATTTAAAGATACATTTTATATTTGAAAAAAGTAACACTATTTAACGGTCGTTATGTTGGCATGTATTTTAAACATTTGTTTTGTATAATGACATCTGAACTATTGTGTATAACAACATTATACTCATTATATGAATAACACGTTTTCGTGTACGAAACGAAGGTTTCAACATAGTTATATTATATTGAAAGGTGCACATTGAAATTACCGTATCACTACTGCATAATAACAATATTTACTGCTAGACTAACATGTGAATATACATAGCACTGCGACCGATCCGATATATAAAATAATTGAATCATTGAATCATAGTAAATCAAAAGGTAAATTTGAATAAGACAATCGACGGACTGGTTCAAAAGCATGAAATGAAAACCCGAAATGTAACACTCGAGTTCGTTACTGCACAAGTCCCCCTTTTTGTGGAAGATATGGTAATACAGAGACAAATATTAAAAGCGATAGTAAGCAATCAAATGAAATTATAGCACAAGTATTCACATTTATCTAAACTGAATAAAAACCTCTCTTAGTGAGTAGTTAATCAAAGATTAAAATATTTCGCAAATTGACATATCATTTAGGATTTACTAGAATTAAAAGTCATTCAGAAAAGCACTTGGGACGTACCAAATGTATAAAGTATTATTGTTTTCTAGCACAATGTTCTGTCGCTGCTGGTTGACTAATAGTCCCTGAAGTTATCATCATCTTAGTAGTGAGTGCCTCCACAATGACCTGATTTACAACAAGCCTTCTTTAAATTATCCTTTAATGAACTATGAAATTCTTAAGAAATTACGGTTCCAACTCTTTCTAGCAAAATTTAGCTTATATTGATTTTGCCAATCCTTACATGTTCCTAAAGAAACAAAAAAACAGCGTCGCATTAAACGGATCTTTTTGGATTTATTTCTACACGTTCGCTTAGTATCAAGTTAAGTTTGAACAACACGTTAACCTAATTAAATCATTTTACAATTCGTCAACAATTTGTATATGCATAGGAGATAATTGTTCAGGTAGATTACATATCTTATCTGAAAGGTATGATTTCTTTACCACTTTAATGAAGCAACTTCCATGATTTGATCATTAAGTTTCATTTGTTATAAATGCGGAAGTAGAAAGGGAAATGCTATTAGTTTTACTTTGTATTCAACACATTTGACCATGTTGATTTCTTTAAAAAACGGGAATAACCAAAAATGACATAAAATACAATATAAATTATCATAGACACTCAACCTGGATTCATAAAAGTTTCATTACGCACCTAAGTCCAAACTTGTATGCAAGTTATTTCAAGTCTGATGACATTTGCATGCACACAGTCTAGGTGAGAAGACTTGCACACAATTATTTAACTTTCGACAGTTATTTTAGTCTGGATAAGATTTGAAGAATAGAGAATAATGGGCAAATCATGCATAAAATTGGGCCAAACAATAGCTATTGGACCAAAATTATAAAAATTATACAATAACTTATTGCTTAAACATGAAGAATCGAGAATAATGGACAAAATAAATAAAGGATAGAGAGAAATGGCCTAAAATTGAAAAGAATAATGACATGAAGACCACTTCCAGACTCTCGTTTGTGATTCACGTCTATAAAATGTAAAAAACTGAAGGCATAAAGAATCAACTGCTCAAAACTGCAGTTGAATGTGTATCCAAAAAAATACATGAGAATGATTTTAATATTCGAAACCAAAACGGTGTCGGAAAGAAGGCTACGTATTTTCCTTCTTGTTCATTTTTCATAACAATTGGCTAAAACATTTAGCAAACTTGATTTATACGTTCTGAAAAAATATTTAACTTCTTTCCTTTTATTAAGACGAAAAAGAATCCATTCTCCTTAATGGAAAATCTCCGATTGATAAAGGGTCGTCAAGTTGGTTACTTATTCCTTATTCCTTATTCTTTACTTATTCCTTATTCCTTATATGTTACTTATTCCTTATTCCTTATATGTTACTTATTCCGTACTTATTCCTTATTCCTTATTCGTTAATCCTTATTCGTTACCTATTCGTTACGTATTCCTTATTCCTTATTCGTTACCTATTCGTTACTTATTCCTTATTCCTTATTCCTTACTCGTTACTTATTCGATTAAATATGTTCCCCCCTTTAAGGCTTTATTTTCTTATCTCTAGTAATAGTTCTTGGTTTATCGAGGTAGAATTACCCTTTTAACGCGTAGGTATCCGTTTTTGCGCTCGACTGATTGATTCCGCGCTGTACTGATATTCTGTTACTTATTCGCTACTTATTTGTTCCTTATTCTATTTTGATACGTTGCACCTTTTTACTGCTTTATGTTCGTGTCTCTGGTTTTGGTTCTTCGTTCGAAGAGGTGAAATTACACTATAAGCGCGTTTGTACCGTTTCTGCGTTCGACTGATACCCTGTTTCTGATTCGTAACTTATTCGCTTTTTATATGTTGCATCTTTTAAATGCTTTCGTCTTTTATTCTGTTGTCCCTGGTGTTAGTTCGTGGTTCGTAGAGGTGAAATTACCCTTTAAGCGCGCATGTTATCGTTTTTGCGCTGGACTGATACCCTGTTACTTATTCGTTTCTTAATCGCTTTTTATACGTTGCACCTTTTTAATGCTTTCTTTTCTTTTATTTTCATGTCTCCGCTGTAAGTTCGTGGTTCGTAGCGGTGACGTTACCCTATTACCGCATATGTATCCGTTTCAGCGCTCGACTGATACCCTGTTACTTACTCGTTCCCTATTCGTTTTTTATACGTTGCATCTTTTTAATGCTTTCTTTTCTTTTATTTTCTTGTCTCTGGTGTTAGCTGTGGGTTTGTAGATCGGAAATAACCCTATTAGCGCGTCTGTACCCGTTTCAGCGATCAACTGATACCCAGTTACTTATTCGTTCCATATTCACTTTTTATACGTTGCACCTTTTTACTGCTTTATTTTCTTTTATTTTCTTGTCTCAAGTGTTAGCTCTGGCATCTAAGACGTGAAATAACCCTAGTAGCGCGTATGTACCCGTTTCGGTGCTCGACTGATACCCTGTTCCTTATTCGTTACTTATTGGTTTCTTATTCGCCGTTTCAACGTTGCACCTTTTAAGGTTTTCTTTCATTTCTTTTCTTTTTGTTTTTGTTTTGTTGTTGTTAACGATGGGTTTGTATACGTGAAATAACCCTATTAGG